GCTTTGCAGATGGAAAATGAAAGCAACAGTGTCAGACAGAGTTGATATATAACGTCAATGGATTATAATAGGGTCAATGGATTATATTTATATACAGATACATATCCATTTTCCATTAAATAAGAACGTATTGTATACTTTTACACAGATTAATTGTGGTTTGTGTCTACGTTTGAGTCTACAAGTCTACACGTATTCTAGCTACAATTTCATAGATAGATCAATGGACGACCAAAAACATATATAAAAATATATTTATTTATATGCATAATAATTTGTTGTTAAATCTGAGAACAAATGATCAAACTTAGTATAATATAATCGATTTTGACATGTGAAGAAAGTTATACCCTGAAGAATTGAACATATATATTTTGGAGGGTGTGATATTAAATATTCATATCAAGTATACTGATTTCATAAAGCAGAATTGTATTATTTGGTGTGAAGTATTAGTATGGAGATCTCTAGATACATCAAGGATGTCACCTTTGAGGGACAGTCGGACTCTCCGGTCTAGGTGAAGGTGGAGAAAGTGGATAAGGAGCAGCGTGAACGGGAGAAACAGGAGGCGCGGGAGGCGGAGAAGGCTCGGAGGGAGAAGGAGAAAGAAGAGGAGAGAGCCAGGAAGGCGGCAGAGCTGAAGAAAGTCGCCTGCAGGTTGGCTGCGCTCAGAAGGAAGTTTTTTGTTGCAATCCACCTACACTCCCGAAAACTAACATGGAAGTGGAAAACCACCTGTTTGTAGTGGAAAATGGGCCATTCTCCACTTCCATGTTAGTCTTCCAGGGTGTATTGGCCATTTGTTTTGGGGGGTTCTTGTTTCCCGAGCTGCCGAGAAGTTGGGCTTTGGGTGAGTATTTGCAGGCAAGGCTTTCTTTTGTGACTTACGTGTGTGCAGTTCCTGAAGCAAATCCGAGGTAGGTATTGGCAAAATGGATCCTTGGCAAGATTGATTTGAGAGGTGAATAGGTTTCGAGCTTTCATGTATCGTTGAAGTGTGTTGAGTGATGGAGCACACACTCAGAAGGGTATGGCAGAACCGAGTTCGGCTAAGGATTTTGCAACAAAGGCGACAGCTGTCCCTTTGGCCACGATGGTCCCCAGAATGAGCCCCAGGCGAGTACTTGATTGCTGGCGTGAAATCCGTTGTCTTGGCAATCGTGGCAACATGCATTCGTGCACAGATAGTCGATGTATTGTCGATGATTTGGCGTCCTGGTGAGTTCTTCACAAGAGTGATCGAATCCTCAGGACACGGAAAGGCGTGAATGGAAAGTGGAGGTTGTTCTTCTCAACACACCTCGTTGTTGAGACCCATTCCCTTACACCATGGTGCGCGAACATGGATCAACCAGGGGTTTCACGGGGAAATGGTGAAATGTAGAGGCCAGAGGGCAGGGTTTATAGAAGTTGAAGCCTTTTCATTGGAAGGGTTTAGCGGTTAAACCAACACCTTGTTTTTTGCAATGAAGTGTCTGAGCATGACCCACTCCAAAAGTCTTTGCTAAGCTGGTCTAGCCACGACAAGGGCAAAACCTCCGGCGGAGACTCCAAAGATTGTAGCAAATTTCCTTGCTGGTTGGCAATGATTTTTTGTGACTCATTCTGCTTCATCTCAGACTTGGGTCATGCTTGCTTGGGTCGCATGGCTGGGCGGTTTATGTCCGTTCCTTCGGTGTTTTGGGACGTTCGTTCGCTGAGACGAACTTCAAGACGGTGCTCTGCAAGTACTTTGAGCAGGGGAACTGCACCAAGGGCGACCAGTGCAGCTTTGCACATGGCGAGGCGGAGCTTCCAGGTGGCGTTGGCCATGGCAGTGCCGCCAGTGCTGTTAAGGCCAGGAGCATCGGAGAGAGAGGGGGTTTGACAGGGTGACCGACCAAGAGATGCCGTAGCACCGTGAATGCACAGCAAATGGATTCATCCCTGTTCCGGAATGAGACATCACCCTTTTTGCAGAGGACCCCAGTTTGGTGATGGATTTCTTCATTTGGAGGGGTCCTCAGTGATGATTTGGAGGTCCTCGTTGGTGATGTCTTGAGGCCTTTCAGGTACAATTGGCTTCTTGTACTAGTAGCTTCTTGTTACTAGTAGAAATGCCAGGAGCTACTCGTAGCGTCCTTGCTCCGTTCGTAGCGATGCCCTTGTTACTAGTTTCACTCGGGTCGCCCAATCTGAGAGGAGCCGGTGCCAACCTTCAAGACGGTCTTGTGCAAGTACTTCGAGCTGGGCCACTGCAGCAGGGGCGAGGATTGCACTTATGCGCATGGACTGGAAGACTTGCAAACTCGGGAGGCCTGCTTTTCTTTTCTTTTGCTGTCCACCGCCCTGATTTATCCAAGGGATCCCAAGGGTGTCAAGGCTGCGACATTCAATTTGCTCCAGAGGAAGGTTCACAAACGGCCTACCGCGGTGTTTTGTTTCTCTAAAAGAAGGTTCACAAACGCATCCGAAGCACATTTCTGCTGTGGTTCTGCAATGAAACACTTTCTTGAGGGCTTCCAGGCAGATTGGGAGAGCTTCAACAAGAATCACACAGACAAAAGGTTTCCAAGTGACCGCCCAGTGTTTCGACCAGCCTGCTGTGTGCATTGGTAGAGGTTGGCACTTACAAGACGGTGCTCTGCAAATACTTCGAGGCCGGATTCCAGGATACTCTGACTCTACATCTAAACAACGTTACTACGAAGTGGGACTTTTTCCATGGAATGAAGCTGAATGACGAGACTTGCTAGACTTTCTGACTCAGCAACAGGATGCTGCATCGCCAGACATAGCTTCCCCCTTTTCAAAATCATGTATAATGAACCCAAAGAGGTATATATGTGCAATTCCAAAATCATCTCTACGCATTCTTCAGGCGGGGACCTGCACGAAAGGCGCCAGCTGCACCTTCGCCCACGGGGATGCTGACCTCCAGATGGATGCGGTTTCCCCGGCCGCGGCGGCCACGGCACCATGCGCGGTGGCGGCCACGGCATTTGGGGGGACCTCCCTGGCGGACGCGATTGCGCAGAGTCTCTGGGCTGAGTCGGGTGTGAGGGAGTTGAAGGACGTTGTTTTGATGAGGTGCCTCATTCATCAACCCAACTTCACATCCTCTACTTTCCAGACCAAGGTCTTTTGGCCATCAGTTGTGTGATTGTGCCGCATCAAGGTACTGCAGTGCCAAGTTCGGATCAGGATCGTGACTCCAGCGGCAAGCCCGTGGGTGTCTTGGTGCAGCCGACGAGGCCGGGCTGCAGAAGAGGAGGCCGCCCTGGACGTTCCAGCAAAACAAGAATGGGAGCCCCCGAAAAGAGCCAAGCCCAGCCACCAAGAAACGAAACGGAATTGGGTCGCCTGTTTGGCCTGTTTTGGTCACTTAAAAGGTGGAGGTTTTGAGATCTGACAGATCTGACCCGCCCGCACAGGTTGCTCTCCAAGAGGCAGCTGGAGACTGCTCCGGAGGGAAAGTTGCATCCTAAAGTTGCAGAGCTCATGGTCCCGACGGAGCTTGCGGTCGTCAAGCAGCTTCAGCTGCAGTTGACATATGACACTCCTCTCTTTATCGATAAACATGTAGTAGCAGCATTGCTTTCTTGTTGAGCAGAACACATTCTTCTCCTCTCCGGATTATTATCACACTTCATCAAGGTTTTGCATTGTCTCATTAGGCAAGTTACTGTCTTATGCATGCAGTATTTCCACATTCAATTTCAACAATGCCATGTATTCTTGACTATTCTTCAAGGCTTGCCTCAAAGGCACGGAATGATCAGAATATGACAGCAATGACTGGGACACTGTATGCGGAGGGAGCCTTGAATGAGGCTTCACTGATTGGTTTGAGAATGGATTTTGCAAGGTGCTTAAGGTGCTTGTGGTCGTTTGGCGGCTGAGTGCGCCGTGCTTTTGGAATGGCTTTCGGGTTATGTTAAGGTCTGAAGGGAACACTTGAATTTTGGGAGGGAGCCTTTCCCTTCGCCAAGGCGCTGTGCGTTCTTCACAATAGGTCGCTGCGCCAAAGGACGAAGTGAGTCGAGTGAAGTGTTTGAATCAAACATCACATTGACCATCACCTTTGTTTGGGATGGCTTTTGACATGGCACCCTAAGGATACTTGTAGTATGTAAAGTTAGAGAAAGTCCTTCGACAGGACATGCCAACACCGGACTTAAGCGCCCATTGCAGGAGACGACTGCACTTATTCTCATGACCCGGAGGCACCTCCTTTTTTGCCCGCGGCGCCCTCCCGTGCCGCGCGCCCTACACGCCCTACACGCCCTGCGGGCCCTGCGGGCGGAGCTCCCGTGGCAGTGCGGACGCCCAAGCCGGCACCGAAGCTCGTGCCGCCGCCGGTTCGGCCAAAGCCGGTTGAAGCGCCGGTTCCGGTGGAAGAGGAGGAACTGGAAGTCTCTGGAATGGAGTGGGAGCCTGGCCACGTGGTGGCAATGTGAGGGGCTGGGGAGGTTGTGGCTGAGATTGCTGGTGCTTCACAGTTGCAAGGTGCAGAGACTGAGCTTCTGAGCACTTTTCTGTGATCTTGGGTTTTGGATGGTTTTGGTATGTTGGAAGGCTAAGGGTAGAGACATTATTTTTACGAAGATTCGCAAACCCAAATTCCGCCCAGTTGCCATTGGATTTGCTTGCATCGCGCTACACTATAGCTTTGCAGATTTGTTTGTCAGTGAGCACCTTGGACATTTTTGCATCAGTTCGGCTACTTCTAGGATAGCATTGACTGTATCTCCTTTCCTCCTGCCGACCCTGAGGCAGATGGTGTCAGCAGCAGGGAAGTGAACCTTTTCACAGGTTACGGTTCACCCTTTCAAATCCTCTCCCCACCACTTCCCACCGCGGCCCCAGGTTGGGACGCGACCATGGCCTGGAAGACCCGGTGCCTTGGCTGTTTGAGAGTCCGATGATGGCAGACCCAGCCGAGTCCGACCCAAACGCAGTGGGGAGGAGGTAAAGGAGGACGGGATCCAGTGAGGTGTGAGGGTCACCTTTCGATCGTTTGAGGCTGTGCAAGTTCTTCGAGCTGGGAACTTGCCAAAAGGTGCGAAGCATCGAACCTCCGCGGCGACATGCGCCGTTCTCCGTCATTCCTCCGGGCGATCCGGGACTGCCGGAGGTGGTGCCACTGCAGCGAACCTGGGTACGGAACCGAGAAGATCGATTGAACACGCCTGACATGCAGGCCACAGGTCAGTAAACGCAGCCCTGGGCAGCTCATTTTTTGGGGGGTTCAATCATCTTCAAAGAAAACCAACCGGCACTTCTCTGAGAGAGGTGGACCGCAGCAAAGTACAACCAAAGCACTTTAGTCATAGTCTTAGTCATTCGTCGAATCCGTAGCTCGTAATTGGACAACCATACGCAAGCAAAGCAGAAAGCATCCCATTAGGTCCGGGTCTTACTCTGAATGTCATCGCCCTGTTCTTCTCACCGACACTTTTCAACTTCGATCGAAAGTACCAAAGCTTTGGGTCAAAGCTTTGGGTCTAACACGCTACCCCATCAACCAAGCGCCAGGTTGTTTTCAGCTTTCTCCACGTGTCGCCAGGGTGATGCTTGCAGCTTCGCCCATGGGCCAGCGGAGCTGCAGGGGCCGCCGTCGGTGTCCATCAGCGCAGGCGCGGCCCATGGGCCACGCCGCAGGGCCGTAGGACCTGGTCGGTGTGAAGGCGACGGAAGGTGAGGAAGGTGCCGAAAGAGAGAGGCCAGAAAACCCCTCAAATTGGCTGTTTTGGTTTACGATGTATATCTGGAGGGGTCAGGAGTTTTCTTTTCTACACTTGGATTTTGCCGTGTAAATGTTCACTGCAGAGTGCGAGGATCACCATAGAATTAAGGCAGCAGGAGACAATAGATTCTATAGTGTGTTTTCCACGCATGTATTCTACAGCGACACTATGTTTTGGTATTGATCATGATTCTATAGTAGAGTTCTGTTTGTGCAATCTTGTGGAAAAGCTATGATTGGAGACTGATTGGGACATTTCATAAATATATATATATATATACAATTCCCGATGAAATAGAACTACTTCCATTTCACTGGAAAGCCTAGGACCTACCTTATCACAGCTACCAGAATAGGGCGTCACCTACAGCTCCTCAATATTCCTGCTATAGCGTGCCAATCTCCTCAAAAGGACAGTGAGTTTCACTACGAAATCTGGGGGTATGCTTGAACTCCCGATACTGTTGAGGTCGTGGATGTCGTGGATAAGAATCACTCCCTTGAATCATTGCCGGGCAAGCGTGGGACAAGACATGAACCATTTGCTTTCTTTCTTTCTTGTTTGCAGACCATGGGTACAGTTTGTGAACATGCAAGGAGCCTGGTCTTCTTTGGACACTTGCAGTTCATTTCGATGATGTGCTTTGCTAAGGTTGTGCACGTCGGTGATGGTGCGAGTGGAGGTTTCATGGAAATGTTTGCACTGGGCGATTTCCCTTTGGTCCACTAAAAGGGGTCCGACATTTGTGGTATTGTTAGGGTGGTGTGTCAGACCTTTCTATCACCTCAACACTTCCTGCTAGGTGGAACCATTTGGGCCGACATGGTGAAGGCTCCTTGGTGCACGTTGTGGGGCATGGAATGGGAGTTTCTAGACTCAAGGCACTATTCAAATATATAGTAATGGACACTTGCTGGATATTCTTGAAGCTTTGTGCCGGCTACTACCGGCTACGCTGCTCGTTCGTTGCCTTTGGTTTGAAAGAGCTACATGAAACTCCACAGCTTGCAGCCTTTATCTTGCTTGGTGTGGCTATACAATCAGACAGACTTCTGAAAGGACACAGTGGCTTAGTCGACGTGAACGGACGTGACCACCATCGGACGTAACTCCAGCATTCATTGTCCACGGAAGGGAACCGCGTACGAAGCCTTGGGTAGGGTCTTTTGCAAATTGCGGCAGCTGGCATTCTTTTGGCTGATGGCACCATATGGCACCTGTGAGGCTTCCGCAGATTCCTTTTCTCTTTCGGTACTTACTGATGATTTGCCGATTTGCCGATCATTTTTGCGCACTGGAAAGGATATCTGATATCTGGGACAGAGCTTAGCAACAAAGTGGTTGTTAGAGCTCCCCAGAAACCTTGGGGTTCTTGGATGGTCATCCACACAGGTGTCGCCTATCACTAGGCTTCCCTTGCCGGAGCCCAAAATGAGAGGGTGGCCGCTGAGGAGGAGCCAGACTCTGAGCCAAGCATGCCCACAGTCTCTGTGCAGGCGAGGGAGCAGCTGGACATCAAAGTGCCAGCAGTGCATGCAAGTAGTTTAATAACAGGCTTTTCGTTGATGCTGAGCTTCTGCTTCGGATTGTATAGTTGTATTCGAAGATCCTCACAGGAATTTGCCGTTAGCAGAACATCGGATTGTTCTCTTCAATTCCTTGTTGTCAAAGACTTTCTGACTGGCTGGATTCGTGCCCTACAGAGCTGTGAGCTCCTCCACGAGCTTTTGCATGCACGAATCCCACTCACGAGATGCTACTGTCCCTCGATACCTACCTGCGAGGGTATTAGTGAGACGGCTACTGCGGCTCCCCTGCATGAGGTTGTCGGACTCAGACTGGTTGACGCAGACTCGTCCCGCCATGTGGGTTCGAGACGACTTGGCAGGAAGCGGCCTTCAAGACGGCTCTCTGCAGACATCACCAGAGGGGCGTTTGTTTCCGAGGCGTCCAGAGTCAGAGGGAGGCGGTTGTTTTCGTGGGATGAAAATGGAAACCAATGGAAACCACATGAGGCTTTTTGAAGGCAAACAAGGCTGATGTGGTCAAGACATGTGTCTTCCAATGTGAGGAGTTGAGGTGATGTTATCGTTGAGGTTAGAGCCCCGACTTTGTCTTCTTCAGGTAGTGCCTGCTTGTTCGCGCATGGGGAAGAGGAGCTTCGGGAACCTTGGCTGGACCTGGCTGTTCGATGTTTTGCATGGTGCGCCGCTGAGGTCCAAGTATCATAAGTACCCATTCTTTACCTGCAAGTTATAACAAGCCAAAAGAACAGGCAACAGCAGAGTGAGCTGGGAGTACTTCTCCCATGGAAAGAAGCTCAGTTTGGCCAGGGGCCCACTCCAGACTTAGGACCCCGCAAATGCTTCTCTGTAAGAGGAGTTCTTGCAGGTACCTTTTTGTTGTGGAAGCTAACCTGACATGGACACCTACTGGTGGGACATCCACTGACTTTTGGGTTCACTTGCAGGACGGTGTCGCTTTTGCTCAGTCTGCGAGTCCCGCACAGACTCAGGACAATCGCAAGACTGTGTTGTGCAAATTCTACGATCAGGGCACCTGCCAACACGGTGATCAGTGTCTTTACGCCCATGGCGTTGAGGAGTTGCAGGCGCTCTTCGCGCCAAACGCACGAAAGCACCGGAGCAGGGTCGGCTTGGCTTGGGGATTTGGGGGGGCCCGTCGACCGGTTGCTTGAAGATAATTTGCGGCCCATATACCACAAACTCTCCTTTTCTAGCTGGAAGACTTTGTGGGCATCGCTACGAACGGAGCGATCGGACGGAGCGATCGGTGGGATGAAACTTTGGTCTGAAGAGGTGAAAGTGCTCGTTGTTCCGCGAACGCCAGGCACTCACCAGGAAGGCTCCGGCCTTCCAGTCCCCCCGGAAGAACTCCGGCAAGATCTCGTCCCAAAACGGCGTGTAGCATCACGTAGCGCCCAAATGGGAGTGTTTCAAAGACATTTGAGGATGGCAGAGGCAAAGATGTTGACCTTTTTGTTGCAGGTTGCGCTGCAGGTTCTCTGGAGCCAAAGCGTTTTCAGGGCTTTTTTCCCCAAACAGTGTGGGGACACTGAGGGGTTCTTACGGTAAGTGCCAGTTCGTTGCTATTTACAGTACATTCATGCCTCTCGACATCGTCAATGTGCACTTCGACTGCGCAGGCTCGCAGAATCTGGGTGGCTGGAGCGTGTGCTTGTCGCGACTGCGCTCTCGTTGTGGTGCCGTGCGCATTTTGGTACATGGTGGTCACTTTTCGTGGCAGGCGCAAGGGAAACCTCATGTTTTGGTGCTCCAAAGTCGACTTTTCGTGACAGGCGCAGCTGTTTTACTTCGAAATGGAGTCACTCTCACTCTCACTCTCACTCTCACCCACACTCATTCTCACTCACACTCGCACCCACACTCACTCTCCCACTCTCACTCACACTTCATCACCGCCATCACCTCTCTGGACCGCAATGCGTCTAGATCTCTAGACTTTCTGCTTACAGACCTCACGCACACTGTTTGGGGTCTCTTGCCGGGGTGATCTTTTTTCGGACTTTTGCCACCGTCCTTTCACGAGTAATCCCAATTCCAGACGCTGGACCAGCCGGAGCTGGCAGAGAAGCACCCGGGCTCCTTCGCTTGGCACCAGGGCTCCTTGATCGTTGGGATGTGAGGGATTGGACAGCGGTGTGGCCGTGGACAGCGGTGGCGAAAAGCTGGTGGAAGGCCACCCTCGTTCGCTGTCGCTGGAACCTGGCGAATGCACCGAATGCATCCGATGCAATAATTGGTTGACATTCTCCAAGTCTACGTGTTGCATGGGGTCCATGGAAGCAACATGTCGGTGGTTCTGAGATTCTGTGGGAAACTCACCAACTCACAGGGGTTGGTTCCCTTGTATGGTCTTTCGAAGAATTTCTCAGTTCTTATCTCAGTCTTGCTTGGGTTCAAGATTCTATCGGATGACTTTGCTCGCAGAGTCTGGCCGTCTGGATCAGGAAACTCCGAATTTAGGCGAGTCTGAGAGCGTGTTGCTGCGCACGGTCACCGGTGGCGCCCAGGAAGTGGTCTCTCCCAAGATCGCTTCCTCTTCAGACCTGATGGGGACCTGATGGGTCTCCGTCGGTCTCTGAGAGATGAACTCCGGTCTCCGTCGCGCTTTTCTGAGGTCCTATGGAGCATGGAGTCCACTCAGGGGATGCTCAGGCGGCTTTGCAGCTTACATACTTGCTTTCAGAAGTTCGGACAGATGTGTCATGATGTGTCTAAAGGATTCTAACAGGGGGATTCCACCCATCACCAAAGCTCCAATCATCTACTTTGGCCTTCTGCTTCGGAAGATGTGTTTGTAGCAGGAACTTCAGTTCCACCGACCTAAACATTGCTTCTCTTTGGACCTTCGGACCTCAGCAAAACACACTCGGACCTCGCTCGCTACCAGGGGAGCTTCAAGACGGCCCTTTGCAAGTTCTTCGAGATTGGTCAATGTTTGAAGGGTGAGGCATGCACCTTTGCCCATGGCCCCGACGAGTTGGCTAACTCACCTGACCAGGGCAAGGCCGGTGCTGGGGAAGCTTCCGGGTGCACGCTGGGGATGCAAAGTCCACGTTTGCAGTGCATTTTTCCCCACGTTGCCACATCTTAGTGTGGGATTCTTCTTTCTATGTCTCATCCCGCTTCCCGCCGCCTCCTCCTCCACACCGAGACAACACATACAGAGACCACACACACCGAGGCAACACACACAGAGACCACACACACCGAGACAACACACACCGAGACAACACATACAGAGACAACACACACCCAGAGACAACGCGCACAGAGACAACACACACCGAGACAACACATACAGAGACAACACACACCGAGACAACACAGACAGAGATCACACACACCGAGACAACACACACAGACAACACACACAGAGACAACGCACACAGAGACAACACATACCGAGACAACACATACCGAGACAACACATCAGAGACAACACACACCGAGACAACACACACACAGAGACAACACACACCGAGACAACACATACAGAGACAACACA